AGCAGGAAATGCCCCATTTAAAGGTGAGTACTAAAGAGAAAAGGTTTACATATAAAAGCTGAAAAAAGAGAGAAATAACATAAGGAAAAGCAAAGGAACATGCTTCATGGAAGAATTACCTAAATAAACACAAAGTTCATATACTCTTTTATCTCAAGGAGGTGAAAAATAATATGGTTCTTCTCTTAACAGGTGCTCAAAGAAGCATTGTTAAGAGTTCAGAGAAGACAATCAGAGATAGTGCATTGGTAGCACTCAAGAAAGTGAAGAAGGATTTGAAACTTTACCTAATGAAAGGCAAATGTTACACATATACATACAAATGTGCATAAAACTGAAAAAATTCAATGACAAAGGTTAACCTTGAGGATATCACAAATCAAAACGTCTGAGGACAATAAATAATGATTGTAAAGAAGCAGAAAGGTAGTGAAGTCAGCAGAAAGGTTGTAAAGAAAGGAACTGAAGAAAGGAACTGAAAAAAAGCATAAAGATAATACAGAAACATTTCCTAAAAGAGATAAAAGCTTCAGTTTGCAGATTGGAAGGCACAAAAGTTCAATAAGAGAGAGAAGATAAGGAAAATTTGTGGGCATAATAAGACAGAATAAGCAAATATCTTTGTTAAAGGGAATATCCTAACTGGGCTCAAACTTCTGTAGAGCAACTCATAGACCAGAAAACAGTGTGGCAGTGTCTACAGACTTCTGTCTTTGATTTACACATATGTAAGTAAAAGTCCTTCAGTTGCTCTGTAAAGAATCAACTCTAGGGGGGCCAGAGTGGAAGCAACAAAAACCAGTTAGAAGTTTCCTGCAGCAGTACAGGTGATATATCATGGAGGTTGAGACCAGAATAGAGGCAGAGGGCCAAGATCTGAGATATATCTGGGAAGTAAGCACTTGTTACTGATGGAATGAAGTGAGACAAGTGAGAGGATGCCGAGTTTATCTCTTAGGTTTCTGACTTTGACATCGGGGTAAACAGTGATGACATTTGTTGAGATAAGGAAGATTGAGACAGAGCCAGGCTCTGTTTTTTTTTAGTTCGGAGTCCTACAGGTAGTAAGTTACCAATATTTGCTTGTTGGGATGATCATTTATTCAACATTGGAATTTTGTGAATACATGAATAGGTATTCTGGCCGAATCAAACCACATTGAACGGTTGCTAAGACACCCTGTATGTCTTAGGCTCCAGTCAGAGACAGACCTATTCTTCAGTTGTTGTACTTAAAGATTGGCATTTGTTTTTGTAGAAGTAGAAGTACTATGTATGAATATATGTGGAGTGTAGAGTAAGAACTTACATTTTAAAAATGTATCTAATTTGGGGACAGGCCAAGTTAAAAAATCATGCACTATTAATACAGTAATAGGAATTGGTCCTTAGTTCCCACAGATATAAATTAAATGAAGCATTTTTATATGCCTGTAGCACTGGCACATATTTTTTCACATTTTAATGTCAACTAAAAATAATATGCCATCTAATACTAATTTATATAATAAAATCAGCTTAATCTCTTAGGGCAAGTTTATTTGAAGAAGTTGGAGAAGAAATGAGTTCATAAACTAGAATTACTATTGCTTTGTTACATTATTTATAACCTTAGTAGACATAGACTGAAGGGATTATATAAGGTTTAAGTTTCAAAAGATTCAATATTCTGTAAAATCCTTACATGTGATTTGAAGTTATCCAGCATTTAAAGAAATAGTAAGTTTGTGCCTGAGTTGAAGGGAGGAACAGAAACCCATCTGTATAACTTGGACAGTGGAAAACTAATCAGACGTCAGTAGTTCCTTATGCTAGCACTTGGAAGATGCAGAAACTCTTGCATAATTTGGAGGTCTGAGGCTTGCTTCTTTTGATTTTATAGGGAGCACTCGTGTGTGCTTCTAGGTTCATGTTGATTATTTCTATAAGATTTCTTTAAAATTTTATTTTTTATTTTAGTGATTAACTTGATCTACCCAAAAGAAATTAATTCTGTAGAGCTGCTCACTCTAGGATATTTCAAAAATAAAAGTTTTATTTATTTTTTTCTAGGAAAGTACTTTTTAGGCAATTACAAAATAAACCCTGTAAAGTCAGATTGTTTTTTCCTTTGAAAAATTACTGAATCTACTAAATATGTAGTCAAAGCTTTTATGAATAGTATTAAGGGATTTATAGGTTTGGCCTCATTTTTTAGCTTATACCGAGATATTCTTTCTCTGACTTACCTGCCAGGAAAAGAGGTTTCTAGGGATGTTTTTTTTTTTTTTTTTTTTTTTTTTTTTTTCTTGCGTTATGCGGGCCTCTCACTGTTGTGGCCTCTCCCATTTGCGGAGCACAGGCTCCGGACGCGCAGGCTCAGTGGCCATGGCTCACGGGCCCAGCCGCTCCGCGGCACGTGGGATCTTCCCGAAACGGGGCACGAACCCGCGTCTCCTGCATCGGCAGGCGGACTCTCAAGCACTGCGCCACCAGGGAAGCTCTAGGGATGTTTTATACTACACTGTAATGAGGGTGGAAATTTAGTACATTTTTAAAATAATACAGTTTGAAATGTAAATTAAACTGTTCAGGATATAAACCTCCTGTCATGTATTTCATTCTAGTTGCTTTTTGTTTGGATCAGCTATCCTTTAATAAGACAATGAGATCCACTTTAATTTCAGGATAAAAATACTTTGGACTATTGTAATTAGTTTTATAGACAGATAGTTAAAGTAAGGAAGAAATAATAAGGATGCTAAGCTCTTTTGTAGACTTAAATTCCCTAATTTACACACTAAGACACACCAAACTTGTGGGCTTACCAAAAAAAAATAGGATAAATATATACTGACATAGAAATATATCCATAAAATATTTTAATGGAAAAAAAACCAAGATGCAGAACAACACATACAGTGTGATCTTATTCTTGTGAAATAAATGGACCACCACTCTGAATGTGTGTATTAATAAGTCTAAAAGAACAGACTACTCACTTATATCAATGGCTATCTCTTTAATTTTCTATTTTCTGCATCTTTAATGTTTATTACAATGAGTATGTGTTATTACGTAATTAAAGATGTAATATTAATAAATCTGTTATGTTGGCCTGTCAATTTGACTAGGTAATGTAAATTTGCATAAGCTTATATATTATATTTCCTTTTATATACAGTATTCATCATAACAATATACTGAATTACCTTTTACACAAAGAGAAATAAGGCAAATTTACATAGATATAAAATGAAAGATTCAGAAACTCTAAGTAAAAGAATTTTTCCCAATCTCCTATAATATATTAGCTCTAGTTTTTTTGTACAGGCCCTTTATCAGGTTGAGGACATTCCCTTGTATTTCTGGTTTACCAAGATTTTTAAAACAATGAATGAATGTTGAACTTTGTCATTGCTTTTTTCACATCTATGATATATGTTTTCTTTTCCTTAATCTGTTAATATGATGAATTGATTTATGCTTGAATGTTGATACAACCTAGTTCCTGGGATAAACTCCACTTAGTTATGATGTATTAACTTTTTAATATATTGCTAAAGTTGACTTGCTAATAATTTCTGTGTGCCTATTCCAAAAAGATATTCTTCTCTTGTTTTCCTTCTTGTGATGTCTGTGTCTGGCTTTGGTTTCAGGGTGATGCCAGCTCAATAAAATGGGTTGGGCAGTGTCTTCTCTTTTCTGTATGAATTTGTGTACAACTGGTATTGTTTCTTTCTTAAATGTTTGAAAGAATTTAACAGCAAAGCCACCTAGACCTGAAGTTTTCTTTGGGCAAAGATTTTAAACTATGAATTAAATTACTTTAATAGATGTACGTCTAGTCATATTATCTGTTTGTTCACCTGAGGTGGTGAGAAGTTGGAGGATGCTGAGTGCCCATCACCGGGAGAGTAAACACACTAAGTGTTCTGCAGCAAATCAAAGCAAGGGATTGGTTGCCCACATAACAATATGGATGGTTTGTAGAAACAAAATTCTAAAAGAAAAAATCAAGAAACAAAATGAGATCTTTAACATATACCATTTATATAAGTTAAAATGCATGCATACAAAGGGATCCTGACTCCTCACACCTCATTCTCTTGAGAACAAGCGAATATCTTCTGTGCATTCAAGAAATATGTATGTACAAATAGACATAGATATTCTGAAAATCAATGATATCTATATTGAAAATACTTTCTTCTTACAGACGTTGATGAATGCCAGGCTATTCCTGGGATATGCCAGGGAGGAAACTGCATCAATACAGTCGGCTCTTTTGAATGCAAATGTCCTGCTGGTCACAAGCAGAGTGAAACTACTCAGAAATGTGAAGGTAAGGGTCTCTATTTTGAGGGACATGTCTAATTGTTGACTCTGAATCCGAGAAAAACATGACTTCATTTTGAGTTTTGGAGGATTTAATCACAATTGTAATTATTTATTTTAATATGAAAGTGAAGGAATAACCTTAGAGTAGTTTTGTATTATTTTGTGTAATTAATGGGGTTGATTTGGAAAAAGAGCCAATGATCATTTTACATTTGTTATCTCAGTTTGTTGTAGTGAGAATCGGAGTAATCCAGCCATTTATATTTTTTCCTTAATGAAATAGTTTTCTATTTCACTTATGAAATTATATCAAACATTAAAATTGGGTACAGACTAGTTCCTAGGAACAAGCAGAGTGTTTGATTATAGGTGAGAAGGCACAGTCACCGATTGATGAGAGTGGTTGTGACATTTCCATTAATCATCCAACAATGTATTATTACTTCTTAGTTGAAATGGAATGAGCCTTTTCTATAGCACGTTTCATCAAAACAACATATAGAACCAAGACACAGTTTGACGAAAGTCAGTGCCACTCTATTCGCACTTGTCTATGTTCTTTAGGAAAGGGGGCTATCGATGTAATGTAGGCACCACCTGGAGCCCTGAATCCAGTCGTATCTTTCCTTATTTCCTGCCCAGGCAGCCAAATCCATTTAACCAAAGCCGAGAAAAAATTATGTGATTTAATGTTTGGGATTGGTGGGGAATAGTAGGATTGGAAGAAGTGGTGGTTAGAATTTGAAAGCTAAAGGTTTTATGAAGCCTTTACTTTGTGTCTAAGTCATATTTATTTGAATAGGTCTTAAAAGTGAGTATTATCAATTTTCTTTGGGTTATAGTGTTTCTTTATTAAAAGGTCAAGTGGTATTTCCTTACATAAAATTATTTAGTGTAATTGGTGGCATAATATATCTGGAAAGACTATAAACTGTTGCTACACTCAGTTACAGGTTTTGAATTATAGTCAGTTTACATGTAGTTTATGTAGTATCAATGCAAAAGTGTTGCCATAAGTTTAAAGTTACTGTTTGTTCTAAATAAAAATATGATGATAGCAATTAACTTTTGACCAACTGTCAAAGGTAAGATTTTAATTTTTTATGTGGATTACAATGTATGTAAAATATAGAAGTACTAAAAGATTTAGTTTCAAATGATGCCCTCCCTATTTCTATTATAGCACATTTTATATTTCTGTTCATATGGCAATGAAATTCTCCAAAGAAATCTTTCTTAGTCTGTAAGTTACTAGATCTGTTCAGAAATAAGAAAGGTAACTCTAGAGCTTTGAATATGACATTAGGGGAGTGGTGGTAGCATTAACAAGAAACTGTAAAGTCACCTTAATAACTTTGAAAAATTGTGTTATTGATTTTTTTGTATGTGTATTTGTTTATTGACCATCTCACTTCAACACTTGAGTAAGATCATTGAGGACAAAAACTCTGTCTTAGTTCATGCTATATCAAAGAGCCTGGAACAGTTCCTGATATATAGTAAGCTATATTGATTAATTGGGAACAGGCTAGATAATAAGCTAAGTTCTTTTACTTGGGTTGAATGTCCAAAAGAAAAGAAAATATGGGGTCAGAGTTGAAATTGCATTTGGAAAGAGGCCAGTGATCTTCACGATGGGAATTTTTCCTTCATCTGACTTTTTTTTTCACTTTCTTAATAATTTTATTTTACTTTGGTTGCAATTCAAAGACCAAGAGAGCAAACATTAAGTGCAGTTTAGCATTTTTAGATTTTTGTGTCATTGTCCCTCTTTGGTCACCTGCAGGAAATGCTTTTGAGGTCAGGGACCTTCACTCTCTATTTAAAAGAAAGAACTGTCTTCTGCTTGTTCATTGGGATATCTTCTTAACTAAAATCTTATCCTAAAAGCCTTGTTCTACTGGAAGTTTGAACATATATAGTTTATACTAAAATGAAAAAAAAAATGGTGAAGGAGCATTCATCTCCTAATTTAATGTTTGAAACCTGTGACTCTATATCTATCATTAAGGCCTGTTTCGTTTCACATCATTAGTCGGGTGGATTCTTTTTTCTCATGTTCAGTTATAGGCTACTGTCCGAGCAGTTAATCTGAGTCCAAAGCAGAATGGAATATATGTTTCTCTCTCTCTGTTTGTCTGTAAAAGAATCAGTTATTTTCCCCCATCACTAAGTTAGTATCCCAGATTCAATAAAACCTCTCATGTCTACACAAGTCATGTCTTATTTCTCCTGGGCCAGATTGCCTACAAAATCTTTTCCTAATTCTGTCATACAGTGGGCAAAATTATTCTTTGGTGGAATAAACTATTTATTCACATCCAGAAAGAGAGTTGTTTCAGTTATTTACTCTTTTCAAAGATTCATTCATCTAAATGTCTTTTTAATTTAAATGAAGAAAAGCAGAACATATCAATATAATATGAAATGGTGTATCAGAAGACTGTCCACATTTTTCTTTTTTATAATAAAATATGTCATTTTGAATTTCAGTCCACTTGGATAAAGCACAAGTAGGTACCAGATGTCCTTACATGATCCCTCCTCCCAGACTATACCTTCTCTGACATTCCTTGAGCTAGTTATTCTTTCCTGGCTTAAATGGAAGGCAGGAAAATAGCATCATTGTATTGGAAAGTTTCCCTTCAGTGGCCCTTTACATGTCGAATAGTTGTTTGCAATTTATTCTGAAGAGTCCTCAGCTTTGCTCCATTACCACAGTATTTAGTTGTTTGGGATTTGTGACAACAAATGTATTTATTTATGCTCATGAAACTCATGAAAGTTGTTGGCACAGTATTGTTAGCTGCTGTTCCAACTCTGATAAACCGTGGAAAATAAACGTCTGTGCTAAACTGAAAGGTACTTTACTTTTACTCATATTACCAAAAGTGTATTAACTTTAAAATAAATAATAAATAAATTCATTGACTATTTCTCCCAAAGAAAACTACATATTAAAAATTGAGATTCAAGTAAGGGGACTGTAAACATTGGAAAACGTTTTAGGTCATTAATTTAAAAAACACAGAACTATCTTTTAAATCTTCTTAAGAAATTTGCAACACTGTAGTTAAAACATAAATTCCCTCTCCCTTAAATAAGAAAGCCCATGCTGCTAAACTCAAATCTACTTTCTGCTCTCATAACAAATAAGGTATTCCTCTATCACAACACTCTTTATTGTACATTATTAGTAATTTTTTGTCTGAGTCTGCTTGCAGGTAATTTGTACCAAAATAACATATTAATAAAAGCTAATATTTATGGAGCACTTAATTTATTCTCAACTATACTTAAACCACTTTACATGGGTTTTCTTATTAAATCATAATACAGTGCTGTGAGGTTGGTTACTATTATTAACCCACTTTACAGAAGAAGAGACTGAGGCACAGAGAGTCTGAGTGACTTTTGCAAGGTTTAATGGCTAGGAAACCATGGAGCCAGGGTTCCAACCTGCTAGATTCATTCCAGAGCTTTCACTCTCAGCAAGCTGTGTTGAGCAAGCAAAGGTGGGTGACCGGGCAGCACATACTCCAACCAATGGACTGTATTTACAGGGGGAAACTCATGGAGACAGCAGCAGAAACAGGGATACCTGTTTGCTCATTGCATTCTGTGGTCATGCCCTGCAATCCAGCAAGGCCAGAGTTAGACCCATTTCGGCGATCCTGGTACTGGCTGTGGAGATTTTGCTATATTTTCTATTTATTAAAATGAAAGTTTATTATGTACCACTGTGCTAAAATAATCCATTATTTATGACTCTAGAATTGAAATTGCAGGGGAAGGAGAACAACAGTAGGGAAAAGTGGAACCGAACTAATTCTGCCTTTATTCACAGAAGGGTCAATAGCAGAGGCCTAGAGAAATTAATTGTAAAAGAGGAAGAGGTCAGGGTGTTACTACAATGAAGCTGATTATAATTTGCTTTTGGCAAAAATATAAGTATTATTTTAAAGGGTGTATGTGGTAGTTGTATTGTGAAGAAAGATGTTCTTAAATCATCTTTAAACAAAAAGCTGCAAAAATCCTGGTCATCAACTGCAAATGAGCTTCATGGCCCAGTGAAATCACAGCTGATGCAGGAGTCAAAACACAGGCTGCTCCTTTGCAAATAGGTAGGTTAGGACTTTTAAAGTAGGAAACAGGTCAATCTAGCTCTACTTTATGGTGATTGCATTTGTCTATTTTAGGATTTCTTTTCTCTCTACACACACATATACACACATCTACCTACATATCTATGCTCCCTCTCTCTCTCAGTTGCACAGAATTTTATTCATCACAGTATTTGTTTCATGGCATAATCTCATTATTATTCCACCCAAACCCTGCTTTCTTTTTTTCTTTGATTCCCTATCTTAAAGTGTGGAGCAATTTCAGAGGCCTTCCTCACTATAATAGCTCTTGCCCTACAGGCCAAGTGCTGTCTGTGCCATTTGTGCCAACTAATAGGTGTGTTCTGACTAATTAGACATTTGAGGTCTTGGGTAGTGAATACTGGCTGGGTCCGTGCACCCAGTGGACCCACTGTGACCTGAACCTGGTCCAGAGCTTCATTCATTACCTGGCTCTTCTGTATCCTCATACTAGTGTGGGACCATGATGCCACCTCCAGGTGTCAGTGTCATTTCAGACCCTGTGTCCAAGGGTCCTCTCAGTGTTTGGGTGTCATAGACTGCTTTTTTTAGTTGCTTTAAATAATGTAATAAACACCCATGAAACTACCAAAAATAAAAGCCAGGGCCAGGATAATAACACGTATCGATCATGGTGCTCCCTCAACCACACTTTGTATCCGGATTCTACATTTTTCTGGCTTTTTGTAGGTGGTTGTATTATACCTATAGATATTTCACTTATTATTGTTAATTATTATTTCAGTTTTTAAAATTTTACAAAAAAATTTTGATCTGTGTGGAGCTTTTATTATAATGAAATGGTTCATCTATATAGTTGCATGTTGTTCTAGTTCATTCTTTAGAATAGGATATAATA